GGGGGTCTTTGCTTTTTCTAACTCTCAGATTGTTTTATGAGGCCAGAACTTACTGGAAACAAGCTGAAACAACTGCACTGAATAGTAGCACAAAGCTGTCAGTTGATGTGGTGGTCTCTCATGTGTGTGTCTGTGTGTGTTAGAGAGTGTATAGGCCTCGTTTTGACCATATGGTGTCAAATTTGCAAGAGGCATGCATACAGCCACAGTGCTTTCAAGTAAAGACCAGGTCAATGTTTGAGGTGAAATGAAATAACACTTCACATGAAGTTTGTGTGGTTACTTTTAGATCTTTTTTTTTTATGGCAGCCTCAAATCTCAAAAAATGGGCCCTTTTGGAAAGTGTAAATAAATTTAATGCAATGATTTACAAATGTCATAAAGCCGTATTTTATTCACAATTGAGCATAGAAAACATATCAAATGGTTGAACCGAAGAAAGAAGTATTTGATCATTTTTAATTTGATGACAGCAACATATCTCCAAAAAGTTGGGACAGGTCAAGAAAAGGCTGGAAAAATTACGTGGTACTTAAGAAACTGCTGGAGAACATTGTGTAACTAATTATGTCATGAAACTGCTGTGTGGCAAGCAGTGTGTCCACCCAAATGCAAGACTTGGAAGGCAGGAATGAATTAAAAAAGCAGCTTTACTGCTCTTACGTGCAAGGCTACATAGTATTCCTGACTGCAGAGCAGGACCAGGGACACATATAACTAGAAAACATGAATCAGGGAAACATACAGCCAGAATGCAAGAGTAGAATCAGGACAATAAAAATCGAGAGGAAACGGGTGGGAAACACAGCAGAAACAAATCAGGACTAACAAGAGAGGGGACGGCAGACAAGACAAGAGACTATCAAAATAAAACAGGAAATACAATTAACTCTGAGACAGAATTAAACGTGCAAACTTGACAAACACTAAAGACGGACACAGAGACAAGACTGGAGGAAGAGAAGGGAACACAAAAGGGAACTTAGAAACATGTCATCAACAAAACAAGGGGCGAAAGGCATGAAATAACAAAAAGTCATAAATACAGAGACTTTAAAATCAAACCACTAACAGGAGACTATAAACCCAGAACATAATTTCCTTCTCAAATCCCCCCCAAAATGTAAATCCATGTAAATTAGGCTGCAGGAAATGGAAAACCTCTGTGGTCAGATGAAACACATATTACGTTATTTCTTTCAAATCATAATAGCAATAAAATATTAGCAGCCCTAACTTTAAAAGGAAAACTTCTAAGTACATTTTTTTCAAATGCGGTAACATTTTTATCAGACAACCTGTGTGTGTGTGTGTGTGTGTGTGTGTGTGTGTGTGTGTGTGTGTGTGTGTGTGTGTGTTTCTTGAAATCTTTGTGGTGAAAAATGTGTGTGCTCCTCAGGTATGGGATTACGAGTTGGAGAGAAGTGCAGAGCACTGGGCTCACACCTGCAGATGGGAACATGGACCGAGTCACATGCTGACACAAATAGGCCAAAACCTCGGAGCACACTGGGGCAGGTGCGCGCAGGGAAGTGTAGCAATTAAAATATTCTGTCCTTTCTGTGTCACATGTTTGACAGCTCTGAACTAACGCATCTTTGTCTCCAATACAGTGTATTTAAAGTTAAATGTACACTTTTAAATGCAGTTTAACAGCTAACATCGTAACCCTCCAGTGCTAAAAAGTGGTAAAGTAGAATCAGTTCTGTCTTGACATCTGTAAACAATTTCCTACTCAGTTTATTCAGTCATTTATTTTGGGTCATAATGAATAAAAATTGAAATCTGTTTGTAAACCTCTGTCAATTTTATTTAAGACAGGAGGATGTTCGTTAGCTAATGACTTGGGATTGACCAGCTTTAAGCCAATCAGGTGGTTTCAGTCAGACCCCCAATGTCAAACCAAGAAATCTTTTATCTCAAGTTCAGAACGGACTTCAGGAGTGGATGATGTGACAGTAGCTACATCCATCTATTATACTTTTAACACTTTTTCTATCACATCAGGGACCGGCCCCCAACCTACCATGTCCAGGCCTGGTATGATGAGGTGAGGTATTATAGCTATCCCTACGCCCAGGAGTGCAACCCACACTGCCCATTCAGGTGTTCGGGACCTGTTTGTACTCATTATACTCAGGTAATTGTCTTAGAAGTTATACAGTCACTAGTGATCATATGTTTTTTTCATTTAACAAAATCATATTTACTGGTATAAGAATATCTGGGATATCAAAAGTTCTTCTATTTAATTGCAATTACAATTTGAGAAATGAGCTAAATTTAACCAAGAAAATTTTTGCAACCAGGTTGTTTATTTGCTTTAAAATGAATATTTATTGATAACTACTCACAAAACTGAGTAAAATATGACATTATATAACTGTGAATGCGTACTACAACCCATAATTACCACTGCCTTTTCTGTTACATGATACAACTCTGTTCACATCGTCTGTTTGTGTGTGTGTGTTTTGTTTTTTGTTTAGTTGGTGTGGGCGACCAGTAATCGCATTGGCTGTGCCATCAACGTGTGTTACAACATGAATGTGTGGGGAATGATCTGGGCCAAAGCAGTCTATCTGGTCTGCAACTACTCCCCGCCGTAAGTTTTCACCCAGGACATGAACACATTAGAAAATGTTTCCATGCTGCTTCAGTGAAAGAAGAGAGGAGTCAGAGGTAAACATTGTCATTTGTAATGAGTGAGGTCACAGGTCTGTCATCAGCAATCACAAAAATGATTAAGCAATAACAGAAATTTACAAAGGCCATAAGGCATGCAGTTACTTTATTTGATTTTTGTTCCTACTGCTTACATATTTTAATTTCTTTACATGGAAGAAAAGCTAAGAAATATACAACAAAAGGTTCTGCACTTCCTGGCAGGTTACAACTGTGATAAAAAAAACAGTATTATCATTTCTTTTGTTTGTTTTCTTGTTTGTTTGTTTTTCCAGAGGCAACTGGTGGGGTCATGCTCCATACAAATATGGGACTCCCTGCTCTGCTTGTCCAGCGAGCTATGGTGGGGGATGCAGGGACAACCTCTGCTATAAACGTGGGTTATTGCCTATTTATTTTTGTACATAATTCATGTGTTGTTGTTAAAAGACCTCAGCCTCCTGAGGAAGTACAGTCGGCTTTGGGCTTTTTTATACAGGTGATGTGTGTTGCATGACCAGTCCAGCTTGTTGTCCACCCACAGCCCGAGGTACTTGTACTATGTGTTGACCACCTCCTCTCCCTCTGTCTGAACTGGCAGTGGACCTGGTCTGGACCCCCCGAAGTCCACAACCAGTTCCTTGGTCTTTAAGGTGTTGAGTTGCAGGTGGTTTATGAGACAAAGTTCCTCACCAGACTCCTGTACTCCTCTTCCTGAGCATTCCAGATACACCCCATGATGGCCATGTCATCTGCAAACTTCTGAATATGGCATAATTCAGAGTTTTAGCAGAAGTCAGAGGTGTACAGGGTGAAGAGTAGAGATGGGCAGTAACGCGTTACTTGTAACGCGTTACTTGTAACGCGTTACTGTAATCTGATTACTTTTTTCAGGTAATGAGTAAAGTAAGGGATTACTATTGCAAAAACGGTAATTAGATTACCGTTACTTTCCCGTAGGAACGCTGCGTTACTGCGTTACTAAAACCGTGATTTTTTGCGAGAATGTCTCACGACAGTGACGTAAGCGTGTGCGCCGTTCGTGACAGCAGCTGTGTGCAGATCAATAGTGGATCATATATCGAGTGCAGAGAGAGTATGAGCGTGCAGCGTTTAAAGCGTGGAAGTACTGACCTTACTTTGAGTTTGATTCCATAAAAAGTGACAAAAACATTAGTGTCCGCTGTGCGTGGGAAGAAAACTTCTTTTTACAGCGAAAAAACCCCTAAACTTCCAAGCAAGCACCGAGTAGCTACGACGTAATGGGAAACTCACAGAGAAACTCGCGGATTCTTCCACTGACCGCGGCACACCTGCACCAGGGTAAACCTCCGCCTACCCCACTCCTGCTTTACAGGTGAAAATAGAGCAACAGGACCGCTGAGTCTTTGACTTTATTTATGCTGGGCATCCTCTGCACACGGCCATAAACAACCAGAAGAGTCTGTTCAGTGACAGGTTGCTTCTCCCCAAGACAAGAACTAACAGACTTAAAAACTCCTTTGTCCCACACGCCATCAGACTGTTTAACTCCTCTCTGGAGGGGAGAGGGAGGGGAAACAGGAGGACAAAGGAGGGGGGAACAACTAAGCTGTAGTGCCTCTTCACCTCACTGTCAATACCTTGTGCAATACTTTTGTAAATAGTCAACAGTGCAATAGACCTCAATACTTGAAATGTGCAATTCACTTGTATTTTTATTTTTTATTCCTATTTATTCTATTTATCCCCTTCGTATATTTTATTTATATTTGTCTCTGTATTTATATATGTGTGTGTGTGTGTGTGTGTGTGTGTGTGTGTGTGTGTGTGTGTGTGTGTGTGTGTGTGTATATATATATAATATTCTGTAACTTCTGTCGGTGCTGTGCTTTTTTGGAAATCGAATTTCCCAGAGGAACCCACCCGAGGGATTAATAAAGTTCTATCTTATCTTATCTTATCTTATCTTATCTTATCTTATCTTATCTTATCTTATCTTATCTTATCTTATCTTATCTTATCTTATTATTTATTTTCTGCTGTGTTTTACTTGCATCTATTTGAAAGACTGAGTGTAAACACAAAAACTATTTTATTTTATGTGCTGGAATGTGCAGAAAATAGGTTTAAATGTTAAACTAATTTCTTCCAGTCAGAGAATGTTGCATATAATTAAATTTTTGCTTGATGCATAAAGTTAAAAGATTAAAACTAATAAAACAAGTTTTAAAAAGAGACTTTTCCATTTGATTACATTTTGTATGATGGATTATGCAGAAAAAGTAGAATTGGGCTGAAAGATCTATCACTTTATCACCTCTTCAGGTTGTAAATCGTGTTTTTAAAAAGTAACTAAGTAACTAAGTAATTAATTACTTTTGAAAATAAGTAATCAGTAAAGTAACGGGATTACTTTTTGGGGGAAGTAATCAGTAATTAGTTACTGATTACTTTTTTCAAGTAACTTGACCAACACTGGTGAAGAGAGAGGGGACAGCACAGTTCCCTGTGGTGCTCCTGTGCTGCTGACCACAGTGTCAGACGTGATGTCCTTCAGCCTGACGTACTGTGGTCTGTCAGTGAGGTAGTCGGAGATCCAAGCGACCAGGCAGGGGTCCACCTGCATCCTGTTAGTTTTTCCTGGAGCAGACAGGGCCGGATGGTATTAAAGGCACTGGAAAAGTCAAGAAACAGGATCCTGACCGTGCCTTTTCCTGTCCTGGGCATGTTGTACCTGTGGTCGGAGGAGGTTGAGTAAGAGCCGCTCTAGAATCTTCATAAGATGTGACGTCAGTGCCACCAGTTGGAAGTCATTCAGCTCATCGGGCCGGTTCCTTTTGGGGACCGGGACGATGCAGGATGTCTTCCATAGGGCGGGCACTCTCCCCAGTCGCAGACTGAGATTGAAGACTCGTTGTAGCGGCTCCTCAAGTTCAGCAGCACACGCCTTTAGCATCCTAGGACATCCTACTACTACTAATACAATCAGAAAAGTGCACAGAAAAATTTATTCAGCTCCTAAAAATTGAATAACCGCAACGGACTGTGCTTTCAGACGGAGGTGTTGACAGGCGTCCGGCTCCTGAGATTGAGGAGACCAATTACATTGAACCCGAACCAGAACCAGTAAGAGACGGAGAGCCCCGACCCAGGGCCCAGGCACCAAGCACCTCGCCCAGTGACAACCTGGAAAGAGACATGGTTGTCAGCACAGAGCAGATGTGTAAGGATGAACTCCTATTACTATAGCTCCCTGAGTAACAGATATGAATACAATATTAATACTGACGAGTTTGTGTACTTAAGGCCAACAGGTGGACTGTGAGACCAAGCTGAGGGATCAGTGCAAGGGAACAACCTGTAACAGGTAGAAGATGATGTGTATAGATGAACTTATTATCATTAACACAGATGATTAGTAGAAACAGACTTGGCTTCAGTACCACTATGATCTTCCTTTACTGTGGTTTCTGTCCATAGATATGAGTGCCCACCCGGTTGCCTTGAAAGGCCTGGAAAAGTAGTTGGGACTGGATACTATGATATGGTAAAAACTCACAAGTAACAGCACTCGATGTATTCTTTCATTTATTATTATTTTGTATAAACCAATCTTTGCGTGATTGATTCAGCAATCCAGTGTGTGTGGAGCTGCGCTACACTTTGGTGTTATTGACAATGATGGAGGATGGATCGATGTGACCAGACTGGGCAGAAAACAACATTTCACCAAGTCATACAAGAATGGTATTCAATCCATTGGGTATGACTCGGCCTCTGTATTTATGTCTATTTATTAAGCTTCACACTTTGGCTGTTAAATTGTGATGGATGGCTATAATACATCAGGCTTACTGCCATTTTTGTCAACTTTACAGGAAAAACAGAAGTGCAAATTCTTTTAAAGTTGAGTCTGTGCCTGGTAAGAAGTCCATTTCTCATAGCCACAGAAATACTGTAGCATATTTGTTTTGCTGTGCTTTATCAGCTGTTTTTTTTTCCAGTCAAGGCAGTAAGATGTGATACCACTGTGGCGCTTTTCTGTCCTTTCAAGAAACCTGTACGACACTGTCCCAGGTAACGTGTGTTGATTACAGCTATGACCTTTATGACCACCAAAGGTAAAAGTGGTGTCACTACTGTCACCTGTATACATACATTTTTGTGCATCTTTGAATTTCTGTCTCAACAACTGGTGCGTACTTTATTATTTATAGTTTTCTTCCTCTTTTCTTTTCTTTTCTTTTCTTTTCAAAAACTGGTTTAAATTTGAGCTGATTAGTCAAGTTTTGTCTGGAAACAACGGGCTCTTTGACCTTACCTTAGCTCTGGCTTTCCCCAGGTTGTATTGTCCTAGGAACTGTTTGCGTGAGAGCCAAGCACGAGTTATTGGGACAAAATACTACTCAGATGTAAGTTTTTGCATTATTGTCCTCACTTTGGGTAACAATAGTAATTTGTTACTTAACTTATAAGATAAACCAGAAGACTTCACACTCAGATATCAAATGCATTGCATCTATAAGGCCTGAAGTTAATGCAGCCTTAATTACTGTTGCAATTCAAACCTCTGCTCAGTTTTTAACAACACAAGCAGCTGCATTTGATAATGTGAACACACAGAGTGCCACAGTATAATGCTGATAGGTTAGAGGTGCTTTTCTGCCTAACGACTCATTGTCTTGGCCCATCCAGAAGTCGAGTATCTGCAGAGCGGCCATTCATGCTGGAGTGATCAAGAACGAGTCAGGAGGTTACCTTGATGTGATGCCAGTAGACAAGAAGAGGCATTATAGCGGCAGCTATCAGAATGGCATCACCTCAGAAAGGTAACATCTCATTCCAGTTAATGTAATTGGCCTGAATAATGCAGCGTGTGCGTATTTGATTGGCATGTAGAGAGATGTTTTGTTTTAAAGGTCCATGCTTTTCATGTAACATGTGTCCTTTTTGCTTTTCCTCTTCCAGCCTAACAAACCCCACAGCAGGAAAAGCCTTCAGAGTGTTTGCAGTCATCTGAAAACCACTCAAAAGACAAAGTACCCTCAAATCCAGCTTCATCCACTTCAAATCCAGCAAACCTACTCATTATCAATTTACAACCTATAATTATGTACATTCCTACAGTGAGCACATCAGTGTTACTGATACTGTCACTAAAAGTGTAACTCAAGGCTTTGCTTCTATCTTTGGCCATGACTGAATCACTGTCCAGTAATAATGTAGCAAATGATGTCTTCTGTCTCATATCTTTCCCTGAACATCTTGAGCTGACCATAGACATGATACCACGACACGCTGTTTTTAGCTTTCAAAGCTGTGTTTAAAGCATCAGATTTATTACCTTTCCAGCAGCTTGACATTTTAAAAAGACTAAAATCAGCTGTGTTTGCTGACTAATTTAAAAAGCGCACGCATCACATCTATATAGAAAAAAGGAAGGTAAAACACTGTTTCAATTTAGTCAGTGCTAGGTGTGTCTATGGAGGAACAAATTGGCCATATTAACATAATATAAGATAATGAAGTATAAAATGACAAAAAAAATCCAAAACATATATATGTTATTACACATACTGTCTACAAATCTTAAACACAGAGTCCTTCAAATATGCAAAGTGGGTTCCTCATGGCATAAATGTATCAGTTTATCACAATGCTGAAGTCATATTGTCAGTTTAACATGCACAGAAAGGAATTTTAAATAATGATACAATTTTGAATTAACATCAGAGAATCGTAGAGTTTCCATAAAGACACAATACTCTGAGCGGCATTCATCACTGGCACAGAAATTATTATTCGTTTCGGTTTTCTGATACGTCTGGTTGGGGTCTCCAAATATTCTGTCTGGTTATAGTGTTAATATACACACTTAACATGGATATTACATATTTTTGTATATAATGTTGTAAATAATACTGAAAACACGCTTGCTATTCTCCTCTTTTTAATGTACAATTTAACAGCCACACAAGTCAATGCACAGTAATTGCCACAACAGCTTCTGTATGCAGAACATGCATCTGCCCCTCAAGCTTTTATATTCGCCATAGAGTGAATATGTTGATATGACTGTAAATATTGTATGTGTGCATGTGTAACAGATATTTTTATATTTTATTCTGCATTCCTAGCTCTTGGTTTTGTTTTGTTTTTTACATTTTTATAAGTGGACCTGGCTGGCCAGGAATGCGCATGGCATAATCTTAATTCCCAAAAATTCTTAAAAAGTATTAAAAATGTACAAAATTATATATTGTGTCATTCTCTGACTTTATTAGAGACTTTTGTGCTTAAAAAACATTCAGCTTGAATGACTCAGCAACCTTGTAGTGTGTAAATCCTGCTAACCCCAAGTTAAATCTGCTCCTGGGTTTACATTGTATTACATTACACATGTTTTCAGTTCTTGCGCACATATGGTTGTGAACATGTGGCTGAGTGGCCACATTATTTTAATATCAGTCCCTTCAGCTTCCAGATAGCCTGAGGAATGCAGGCATTAACATTTCAACATCATCTCAAATTCAGCTGCTGAGAAAACTTGAGAGAAGTTTCTTTCTCGCAAATTGTGGGTGTTTCCGGGTACTGAAGGGAACACGGAGGAAGAGAAAAGTGCTTGTTTCAGTTCCAGCCAGTAGATCTTATCCACCGGTTGGCTTATGCATGTTTTAAACATAAGAAAAGCACTTACTGAAATACAGAATTAACAACAACCTGTCAATCTGACAGGTTTTGGTGAAAGAGGGTGTGTGCAAAAGAGAATAAACACATAAAATATTATTTTTGTTAATACTTTAAATTGTTTTGTGTTTGTTTTTTTAAGTTAATTTTGGATTCATTTGAAGAATGAAAAGAGAAATCAAAAATATCCCATTTCCAAATGCCATAGAGGAAGTCTGGCATTTAGCTCGTGTTAAAGGTTTTATCTTTCGCTCGCGGTTCTTTATCACTTCTGGTTTTTAGAGTGTTTGATCTCAGCTCTGTGATGTCAATGTACTCAGGCCCCCTTGCTGTGCTAGCAGCCACATGCACAAAGACCAACTTTGTGTTTTGTTGATCTCGATCGGTTCACTTCCCAGAGTGCATTTCCGCTCCTTCCTCTGGACTGGCGCTGGGTTTTAAGGCTCCGGCTAAAAAGTCCCAGTCAGCAACCTCTTAAAACTCCTAAAAAGCCACACACACTGCACTCATATAGACAAAGATGCACAATTATATGATGAAAACACGCAAACCACTGCTTTACAACAAAAGTTTTAAATCATGCACACAGACTGGGTACAACAGAACTGCTGCGAGCTGCACCTAGAAGTAGACATGACCTCTTTCAGAATGTATAATTACATGAAACAGCTATGAAGCAAGATTATAACCTGCTTACTGGGTTTGGTCCAGGTATCCTGGAGAGAAAAGCCAAGCATCACAGTGCTGTTAAAATTCACAGGACTCTGTTGCAGAGGTGGCCGCTGGTGTAGGACCTCGGTGAACTGCTCGAGTCGGTTACTCAGCTTGTCAGTCAAAAACAGGCCATTCAGTCAGTCATCCACTGTGCCAGTCAAATAGATGCTTATTTGGGTCAGACAAATAGCCACCGTTTAGCCAAACAGTCTATTAAGCAGTAGAGAGGCTTTTTAGACAGTCAACCAGACTGTCAATTAAGCAAAGGTTGGACATCTGGTTCTTTAAAGCCAAGTGCATCATATTTGAAATATTTTCGAGATTTCAGACTCCTGCATCAGCGATGTGATACCCCCACCAAAAAGGAAAGAAATTGAACAAAAAAAATTAAACCCCTCAAAAATTAAATATGATTTTTTTACCTATTTGTTTTATTCAATAAATGGTTCAATAAACACTCAATTTTCCCCAAAAAAGGGTAATTTTCTGGCTATTACATCATGGTTCAGCCTTTAAAGGCCTACTATAGTGTTTAGAAATGTTTAGGGAGCATTCAGTATGAAGTGGCAAACATTTCAGCCAACTCACACACATTAACTTCACTGCATTTGTACATGTCTAACATAATATGTAGAGTACCAATATATAAAGAGGGATCATTTTGCTTTGTCAGTGTAATTAGAACCAATCGGTGTTTGAGTTACTGCCAAAAACAAACAAAAACTGTCTGACTGCTTCACTGTAAGAAGTCATCTATAGAATCTACCCAATAAATCTGAGGTAACAGTTTGCATTGACTTTTTGGGGTAGATTTAGTTCAATATATTGTGTATAAAATAACTTCAATAAAAAGCTATGAAATACTTAATTAAATTGGGTAAAATTTACCCCATATTTATGCATACATTCAACAGCTACTTACTCATTGAAATTAGGTAAAATTATCTCTTGTTTGCTAGTTGGTAATACCTGATAATTAGTAATAAAATTTAATTATTATCAGTTGATAAACATTACCTATTCATATAAGGTAAAATGTACCCCCCCAAAAAAGATATTCAAATGGTTCCTCATCTCAAAATACAGAATAAAGTGCAACCCAACAGCTAATGCAGACAACACTTTCAAAGGCCACTCAGTTCATTTTAAAAGCCAAAAGCACAGAAACTCTACAAGTTGTTTCTGTGCATGTACGTTATCAAACATATGGATAGATAGAACAGAACACTAACACCAACATGCAATAGTTTCTGTGCTTGCTGTCAGAAGAAAAATTACAGCTCCACCAAGCTATGTCCTCTGGGAACAAGAGGGGAAAGGTGTGTGCATTGCATAAGCTTATTTTTGAGGCCGTGGACCCTTTTCAGTAGTTTCGCCCCGTCAAGTTCCAAAAACAGTTTTTGAAAAGTGTCAGATGTGTTCTTCAGCTCCTTCGGATATTCGAGGTTGAGGGCATATATCAGTCCCATCAGCAGTACACATGCCTTTGTTCGGCTTCCACATCCCTCCATCACTTGGTTTCCCTCAATCACAATGGACACATCTGATGGATCCTCCTCAGCCATGATGTTGTGGATCACGATCACCTTCATCATATTGTCTGTGTAATCCTCACATTCCTACGTGTTAAAAAGAAAGAAACAAAAAGCATGCACACGTTTTATTTTATTTAAGATGCTTTTTCAATATATTTCAGTTGATCTAAAGAGGGGAGTGGACAGAAGATGAATGGAGAAGGGGAGAACAGGGGATAGGAGAGGACAGGAGAGAAGAACATTAGGATCCCTTGAGTTAATAAGTAAACTGTTATCAATATGACAAACCTGGCAGTCATGAAAAAGATCTTCTTGTCTTTCCCCGAGGTAGCTAATGAGGCAGCAGATAAGGAGATCCCTTTTCTTCTCAATGCTCTGTGTCTGTAGGGAGATACAATTTAGTGAAAAGACTAAGTCGAGTGATTTACTTACATTAAGACTGAATTACTTAAAAACAAAAACATGGCTGATGCCTCTCTCCAACTTTCAACAGGTGAGAGGCTGGGTACACCCTGGACAGTCAATCACAAGGAAACATAGAGACAGACAGGATAAACAACCATGCACGCACACACTCAAACCTAAGGACAATTTGGAGAGACCAATTAACCTAACAGCCATGCTTTCTGACTGTGGGAGGAAGCTGGAGTACCCGGGGGAACCCACACATGCACAGGGAGAACATGCAAACTCCATGCATAAAGACCCTGGGCCGGGATTTGAACCCAGGACCTTCTTGCTACCCACTGCAGCCCTCCATAATTACATATTTGTGAAAAAAGTCAAATAACATACGTCATTCAAAGTGTCCAGCAGAGGTCTCATCTTGGAACCAGCAGCTCCTCCTTTGGCAGCCATAAGCTGCAAAAGACCTGGTGTGTACTCATCAAGTTTCAGCATGAATGTCTCCACCAAAGAAACTGTGGTGATGCGTCTGAACTCTTCGATGAGCTAAGAAGTAAGGGGACAAAAAAAATGACATTTCAATTTGTTGACATTTGTTTGACATTTGTTTTTTGGTGGATAGGAATAGTTATCACACATACTCACCTGAGCCTCAGTGAATAATGCTGGCCACCTTTCTTTTAACTCACCCACAGAGGGGCAGAGGCTGACCACTCCAAGTCTTCGGCTAGAGAATGTTTTATTCGTTTTTTCTGCAATTATCTTTGTGTTGTTTTTCTTTGTTATTTCATAAATTAATTCCAGCCTCTCTTTCTCCAGTGTCTCTTGGGTTTCTCCAGTAGGATGCGGAGGGAGATAATTAACCTCTGCTTTTTTTGGCTTTTTTACATTCTTTGATGGCACTGCATCAGCTGGATGCTTCCTTTTTAAGGCATTAATTTCAATTTCCGGGTAAGAACATTTTCGAGATCTTAGCTTGGCACTGTAATTGTGCATCTTGTTTTTTATGCGCTGCTGCCAGCCATATAAGCCGGCAAATGATCCTGGCTCCTTAAGACACGCAAACTTTGAAACCAAGGCTTCAGCCACTGAGAGGATCTGCTGATTGGTTGGGTAAGCAGTGTACGAAAAAATTACTTTTGCAAGGTCTTGCATTGTTGCTGATTTAACACTGGCATCCATGAAAGGTCTTCCAGTGTTGCGATATGAGTTGTTTGCCTCAGCGAGGATTAGTTGTATGTCTCGGGACAACTCCGGTACTTGAAATGGCACTGGCCACGCAGCAGGGCGACATGAATCAGGGAGAATGATGGTGTCACTGGAACTTGACGATGCGCAGTCGGAC